GCAGGAGAGACAATGACACCCAAGACCCTGGTGGCCAGCAGGCCACCCCACAGTTGTCCCCAGCTGTGGCATCGTGGTCTCTCTCCCAGTACCTCAAACACCCTCAGCCTCCTGCCTCCTGGCCCTCTGCTCACAAGGACTTGTGAGTGGCTGAAGCCAACGGGGGGGCTCAGACAGCGGGCCCAGGCAGAGGGCTCGCGGGGGCCAGCGTGGGGCCCAGGCAGGGTCTCAGTGGCTCCTGTCCCCACCCCAGGTCTACGGGGCCTGATGATCGCCGTGATGATGGCCGCACTCATGTCGTCGCTGACCTCCATCTTCAACAGCAGCAGCGCCCTCTTCACCATGGACATCTGGAGGCGGCTGCGGCCCCGGGCCGGTGAGCAGGAGCTACTGCTGGTGGGGAGGTATGTGCTGGGGGAGGGGCCGCACCACCAGAGATGGGCTTTGAGGGGTGCATAGGAGTTTGCCAGTTGGAGAAAGGACTTCGCCAGCAAGGGGAGGGGAGAAGAGCCTAGAGCATCCTGCCCACGCTGCCATCCACGTCACTCTCCTGGCCACCCCTTCATGGCCATAACCCTCATCTTGGATGCATCTCTTACTCTGAGCAGAGTCTCTGAGGGAATTTCTGCCAGGGAGAGCCCCCCTTCCCTGACCATCCAAAGATCTCTCTGTCTTCCCCAGATCTGAGCCCCTAGTCCACTATGGTTCCCAGCTGCCACAGAGAGGGCTGGGAGCCCATACTCAGGGGTGGCCACACTTGGGCCAGAGCTGTCCCTCTGGCCTCCATGCCCCTGGCCCCACTGAGCTTCTGCCCATTTCCTCCTAGCCCTCCTTGTCCCCACCTCATTATCTCAATGGCTCACCCGATCTTTCTAGACTCTGCTCAAGTGCCCCTCCTCCATGCAGCCCTCTCTGATAACCCCTCCCCTTGAAGCCTCTGACAGGGACTGTTGCCCAATTGCCCGCACAGCACATGTGGCCCTTGTAGGTCCAACTGATGTCCCGATCCCCCTCCCCACGGGGGCAGGCAGGGTCTGTGCTGGCCCAGCCCCCCATCCCCAAGTACTCGGGAGTCCTTTCGGGGTAAGCTCGGCAGTGAATGATGAGGAGTTGGTACCTCCAGGTATGGGCATATGTGTCTGTATGGGCCCTCTCGGGCTCCACCCCACCTGTCTCCCTCCGAGCCATGAGGCCCCGACTCTGCCGGTCCAGGTGCCCGGCCCTCTGGTGCTGGTCTCTGCCAACAGTGCCCTCTCTGGCCGGGAGCCTGTGGCACCCATCCTCAGGGTGGGGTCTCCCCAGAGCTCCAGGCTGTCGTCCTAGTGACGCAAAACAGCTTGGCCCTGTCGGGACACGCCAGACGGCAGGTGTGAGCTCACGTGCAGGATCCCAGAACAGGAGGCTCTCCCTCAGCACCTGGACCACCTCTCCCAGCCAGCAGCTTCCCCACCTGTCCGGCCGGCCCCTCCCTGAGCCCTTCCATGCTCCGGCTTCTTGGGAACTGGGATCCAGACGATGCCCTGCTGCCCTGGGTGTGCCTTGGCCCCGGCCTGGACCCTGGCAGCCTCAGTGCCCCCTTGGTAGCTCCTTGTCCCTGCCTGCTACTTCCTGGCCTCCTGCTCCCAGCTGAAGCCTGAGTCCTGAGCTGGTCTCCCCTCTGTGTGCGCTCGTCCCCCACATGGTGCCCTTGACCCACCTTGTCCCCTGCCTGTCAGCCCAGGCTGCCCCTCCCTGCCCCGGGCATGCCGCTGTGTGATGCCGGCCCGGCTGCACACCCTCTCTGGGCCTAGTTCTCTCCGCGGCCAGTCCAGTCGCGGGGAGAGGGCCCAATGCTGGGCGTCGAGCCAGGGTTCAGCCCTACTACCCCTCCCTCTTGAAGCACCGGGACACCCCCAACACCCCAGCCTCCTTCTGCCTAAAACAGCACCGTTCAAGCTGTGTTTCTAGCTGCGTGGAGTCTGGGATCTCTGGAGCCTCAATCAAAGGAGAGGTGGGCCTCACCGAGAGGGGACACCCAGACGCCTGGGGAGAAGGCCGTCATGGGGATGCTGGGGACCCCAACAGTCCCCTCAGGTTGCGGAGGCCGGAGGATTGGTCACGGGCCTGGGGACATGACAGCCTCACACCAGGGGCTCCAATCTTTGCCAGTCCCCAGCCCCACTCCCCTGTCCTCCCCGCACCCCCTACGTCTACCCTTCTCTGTTATTCAGTCCCCTAGTGCCGGGCCTCCCTGGAACCCTGCATCGAGCTGGGCCATAGAGGGGACCCAGGGAGAACTCAGAGCCCCCGCCCTTGAGGGGCTCTCCTGTGACCACGCTGCAGCCCTGGGGCCTTGGAGGGGGCCAGCGACCCTGAGGGCAGAGAGTGGGGTGGGATGGGGAAGGCATCGGGAAGACCTCCTGGAGGAGGAGGGCCTTGAGCTGAGCCTTGGAACGTGAGGGGGGCCTGTTGCTAGGGGAGGAGCTGAGAAGGGCACTCCAGGCAGAAGGAGCAGCCTCTGGGGTGGGGGTCCCTCTGCAGCCTGGTGGCAGCTGAGTCAGAGGAGGGCGGCAAGGCCAGGGCCCCACTTCAGGCCTGGCTGGGGGTGCTGAGCCTGTGTTAGAGGAGGTGCCTGTGCGCAAGGAGGGCGGGGCGGAGCCTGCCGGTGCCTTTGAAGAGGGCAGCGCCCGGCTGCCTGCCCGGCAGAGGGCTAATTAGCCTTAATCAAGGGGGCGCCTCCTTCCTCCACCCTCCCCCTCAGGCCTGGAGGGAAGGAAGGGAGGCAGGTGGGCAGGAAGCAGCCCCACCCCAGCTGTGCACGTGGCCTCTGTCGCTCCTGCCGTCCTGTCTAGGGTTCCAGGGGGGTTCGCCCATCACCCACCTGAGGGGTTAGGGCTGCCCAGCTGATGCAGGGCGTGGGTGGGGGGGTGCTCAGCCAGGGAGGAGCACATAAGACACCTCGCTCCAGCGCCTGGTCCCACACCCCTTCAAGGCTGCAGGGTTCCCTCCTCCTGGAAGCCCTCCTGGATTGGTGCTTCCTCTGGCTCCCTCAGGGTGACAGGGTCATCTGTTTTCTTTGCTCGATTCTGGGTGCTGGCCTGCTCATCACCAAGTCTGGGCCCATAGAGCAGTGCCCTGCTCTCAGTGGGCTCCTCCTGGTGCTTTGTTTGTGCAGCGCGGCCCTGCTGTGGAGGGGCCCACGCCCCACGGGAGGCAGGCAGGAGCTGGCAGGAGGAGCCAATGCAGGGTAGGGAGGGGAAGGGGTGTCACAGCTGAGACCGGGTCCTCTGCCAAACCCAGAGCACTGGGCTCCAAACCTTGCACTCAGGACAGAGGTCACCCTGTCCACTACCAAGGTCTGGAGGGGGCGGGGGATGTGCCAGCTGGAGGTCACAGCTCCTGCGGCAGCCCTCCAGGGTTAGAGGACCAGCCAGGAGGCCAGTCTGGCCGGAACGTGAGGGCAGTGGGTCCTTCCCGCAGTCATTGAGACCTACCGTGTACCAGGAGACGCAGCAGTGAGCTAAAGCAGTGAGACTGCTGCCTGCCCGGGGCTGCCAGCCCGGAGTGGGAGTGGGCAGTATGCACGGAGAGGTTGGGGCGGTGCCCTGAAGACAAAGGGAGACCACAGGGTCGGGGGCCTCTCTGAGACCCCAGGGATGAGAACGGGCAGACAGGCTGAGTTGGGGGCGGTTCCTCAGGCAGCAGGGAGCCAAGAAAGGGACTGGAGCAAGCAGAACTGGCCTTGTCCTTGGAGGAGTGGGCCAGGGGCCCGGGGGGAGGCTGGAGGGGGCAGCAGGGGACAGATGGAAAGCAAGCCTGAGTGGCTGGGGTGGGTAGGGGGAGGCGGGGGGAGGGCTAGGAGGGGTCTGGAGGGACGGCTGCCCACTGCTGCCACAGGCTGGTCATCATAGTGCTGGTCGGCGTGAGTGTGGCCTGGATCCCCGTCCTGCAGGGCTCCAACAGCGGGCAGCTCTTCATCTACATGCAGTCAGTGACCAGCTCCCTGGCCCCGCCGGTGACCGCCATTTTCGCCTGGGCATCTTCTGGCGGCGGGCCAACGAGCAGGTGGGTGGGAAGGGGAGAGCTGGGGGGGGCCAGGATGTGGGGTCGGGCCTGGGTCACATCTGCTCCCGAGGCCCCAGCTGCCCTGCCTCCACCTCCCCAGGGGGCCTTCTGGGGCCTGATGGCGGGGTTGGCGGCGGGTGCCGCGAGGCTGGTCCTGGAGTTCCTGCACCCGGCCCTGCCCTGCGGCCGCCCCGACACACGTCCCGCCATCCTGGGCAGCATCCACTACCTGCACTTTGCCGTCGCCCTCTTCGTGCTCAGTGCGGCCGTGCTGGTGGCCGGGAGCCTGCTGACGCCGCCCCCCCAGGGCGTTCAGGTGAGCTACCTGGACCCTGACCCCGACCCCGACCCTCTGACTCAGGAGCTTTCTAGCTCCTGACCTGTAACCCCATCTGGCCCCGGGCCCCGGCCCTTTTTGAACTCAGCTGCCCTCTTTGCCCACTGACTCCTGATCCCCTCTGGGCCCCTCCCCATCCTACCCCCCACCCCACCCCCAAACATTCCCTGCAGATCGAGAACCTTACCTGGTGGACCCTGGCTCAGGACCTGCCCTCAGGAGCCAAAACAGGTGTGTGTGTGGCCCTAGGCCGAGGCAGGGACGCCAGGCATGGCCCTGTGGCCCTCACCCAGCCCTCCCCTTCCACCAGCTCCAGGTGACGGCCAGGCAGCGCAGAAACACGCTTTCTGGGCCCGGGTCTGTGGCGTCAATGCCATCCTCCTCGTGTGTGTCAACATCTTCTTCTACGCCTACTTCGCCTGACACCGCCCGCTGGCAGGAATGTGGGGCCCTTGCAGCCCCCGGAGCCCCCCCCCCGTCCCCACTGAGGACGCTAAGGCCCAGAGAAGGGAGGTGCCCCCGCGGCCACACAGTGGGTCAGTGCCCAGCGACCGGGCGAGCCAGCCAAGCAGGAGCCCTGAAAAATCAGGAAGGAAACGGGAAAAAAGAATGCGTGATGCTTCAAAAATAGTAGTTGTAATTGAAAAGAAAAATGAGATTTCTGATGAACATCCTGTGCTCCTTTGCTGTTGTCATTTTGAGATCGCGGGCCCAGGTCAGGAGCAGCGCCGTCTGTCAGAGCCCAAGGCTTGAGGGGCTCAGGCCGGCCCTGGGCGGAGGGAGAGCCCCCCAGCAGCCCCTCCAGGGCTCCTCCCTGGCCCCGCCTGCTCCCAGCTGCAGGGAGCCTTCTGTGTCTCCCTCTCTGTTCAACCTCCTCCACTCAAAGCCCTTTCCGAGCCCCTTCTGTCTACCTGTGTCCCAAGGCCCCCGGGAGCCTGCTTATAGCCCCTGCTGGAGGCACCTTCCTTGTGGACACCTGCCTTTCCTCAAGCCGGGCCCCACCTAGGCTGCCCACCCTGGTCTGGAGCTGGAAGCCCAGGTCTGGCCTCAGCTTCCCACCTGGCCCAAAGTGCCCCCCGTAGCTCCCTAGGGCCTAGTCTGGGTAGAACCTGGGCCCGAACAAATACGAGCAGGGTGGCCGCGTCTCCCAGGCGGCTACTTGTCCATCCCGTGTGGCCAGCGGGACGGGAGCAGCTGCCTCTGTTTCTCTCCCCTCTGCCCGCCCTTCCTCAGGGCCTCCAGACGCTCCCCACAGCGTCTTTTGGTGGGCAAGGGTGTTAGGTGCCCCCGTGGAGCCCAGTGTCTCCATGGGGCTGCCAAGAGATCAGTCTCCACCTAGAGTCTGTCCAGCGAGTCCAAGTCAACAAGTGTGCAGGGCCCTGGCCGCCTCCCCCAGAGCCAGCCTTTGGGGCCTTTGGAGGGAGGGGCCCCGGCCAGGCCCAGCAGGTGGCCAGCCCAAGGTGAACCCACCCACCCAGCCCTTGGTTCCTTGGGTTGAGTCCCCAGTGGGTGGAACCAGCCCTCCCAGGGGATGGGGGCTTGATGGCTGCAGTGGGCGGGTCCTGCCGGCACGCTGTGACATCACATGGCTGGCAGCCAATGGGAAGAGGCCGACGGGAGGCCCAGGAGCTCCCCTCGGCCCTTGGGTTCTGGGGCGCTGGGCCTGTCTCAGTTGGCGTGAGGCACAGGAGGCCCGTCAGGCAGTCGGGAGGCCCATGTTCCAGGCCAAGGCCCTGGGTCGGGGGTGCCTGAGTCCTCTCTCTGGACCTTAGTGGCTGCTGGACGAACGGTCTGCCGGCTCCGCCCCGGGCTGCCCTGGTCACAGGTGCACCGGCTGGACGTAGCTCCGCGGGAAGAAGCCTGCGCGCCCGCAGAGTCGGCCGCGCCACCAGCAGGGGTCGAGGCGCTCCAGGACCTCGATGATGTCCCCACGGCGGAAGCTGAGCTGGGAAGGGTCCTGGGCCAAGAAGTCAAACTGGGCCTGGGCAAAGCAGGCCCGGGGTGGCTGCGAGGGGAGGAAGTGGTTAATGGGGCCGTTCAGGAGCCCCACCAGCTGTCCCCAAAGAGGCCCCAAGAGGAGTAATTTCCTGAGAGTGGGGAGGGTCTTTCAGGCAGAAGTGGGGTTGAATCTGCCTCTGCATCCAGGTCCTGATGGCAGCCACCTGCCCAGGGGGACTCCCACCATCCCCCTGCGTGTCTGCAGCACAGACCCTGCTCCACACAGGACACTGCCACTGTCCTGGCGGTCTAGCTGGGACCACAGGGCCGGTGGCCAGGGGGACGTGAGTCCTGGGCCGCAGCGTAGGACTTTGGGCAGGTCCCTGCCCAGCTTGAGGTCTGTTTCCTGACTCTCTGGCAGCCGGGATAACTTTTGACTCTACGTCCTGGAACACAGGAGGGGCTTACACACTGTGAAGTGATGTGTAGCTACTAGCAGTTACTGCTGTCGCCCTTGGCCAGGCTTCGTGCTGCTCCCAGGCCTGGGTCCAGGCCCATCTGTGCCCCAGGGCACCTTGGGAAAAATCCCTGCCCTCTGTGGGACTTGGTTTCCCCAGCTGTAGACAGCAGCTGGACGAGAGCTCTCTGCAGGCATGTCAGCCTGGCGCCCTGGCCCTGCCCGCCCCACCAGGCTCTCAGCTCAGAGCCTGCGGAATCTTATCCCAGACAGGCGATAGGATCATAAACAGGCTGCAATTAGCTGTTCTCTGCCCAGGAAGGAGGAGGCAGCCTGGGTCCCTGGGGATGGAGCCAGCCCTGGAGTCACCCCACGGGACAGGTGACTCCAGGGCCAGGCCAGAGAGGGCCAGTGGGTGTGGGGGAGCCCTCAGGCGGCCCCCCAGCTCCAACCTGGCCCTCTCTCACTCTTCAAGGGTGGAGCTGGCCCAGGCAGCAATGGGGAGGGAATGGAAGTCTAGGGGGCAGGCCCAGCAGGGAAGGGTCCCTGAGACCCAGCTCAAAGCTGAGCCGCCCCTCAGGGTAAGGCTGAGCGGGCCAGGCATGCTGGTAGGATGGAGAGCGCCCTGAGGAGGGGTCTCCTGAGGCCTGTTTGACTCTCCTGGCATATCAGATCCCAGGGCTCATCCTGCTGGGCAAACGGGAGACAGGCCCAGGAAGGGGAGGAACTGGCCCTGTGGGCATACGTGTGCGGTGGCGGGGTCTAGGAGGAGGGCAGGACTGGATCGGCAGCCCGACAGCCCCTCCCCAGGCCTTGGCCATGCCGTGCTCCCCACCCTCTGCAGGACCTGAGTTCACTGGGCGGTCCAGGGTCCCGACCTCCAGCCCCAGGCCTTGCTGACATCCCCTCCCAAACAAAACAGCACGTTGGAGCTAATAACCCTGTTGGCTGCTGTTGTCACCCTAATGAGAGTGAGTGCTGGTCCCCGGGGCCCCTTGATGAAAGCTGCCGGCAAATTGCTGTTATTGTGAGGATGAGGGGCGGCCAGACCCCCAGCCCCACCCACCACCCAGGAGCCGGGCTGGGACCTCGCCCGCCAACGCTCACACCGCCGCACCGCCACCCCAGGCCAGCTCCTCGGGACCAGAAGCCAGCACTGACCCTGCCCACTATGTGGCCTTGGATGAGTCACATTCTTCCCCGAGCCTCAGTTTCCTACCTGTTCAGTGGGGACCACGTGGCTCCGACATACAGAGCCCAGCTCAGAGCTTGGCTCCCAGTGGGCCCAGCAGGTGTCAGTGCCTTCACTCACTCAACAAACATGCATTGAGCACCTAATGTGTGCCCCGCACGGCCCCAGGGGCTCGTTTGCCCGTGGAGTTCCAGCTGCTCTTCCCCTTCCTCTGCTGCCTTCCTTCCCCACCTGTGCCGGCCTCACCGCAGTGCCAGGAGAGAACTTCAGAACCTGAGCTGGACCCTCCTCTGTGGCATGGGGCTGACCGGGACGGGGGCGGGGAGGCCAGCCCCCTGCAGACGCTCCCTCGGCCCGCCCCCCCGGCCCACCCACCTTGACCAGGGGCTCCTCGTCCCGCAGGAGGACCTGCCGCTTCTTGGCGATGGTGGTGGTCCGGTAGAAGGCGACCAGCTCGTTCAGGGAGTTGAACTTCTCCTCCCACAGGAAGTACTTCCCCGAGGCCTCACGCAGCACCTTGAAGTGCTGTACCTGGTCCCCGTAGCTAGGGGAGGGGGAGAGGCCCCACGGCCACTCAGCTGGGCATCGCCCCCCGCTCTGGCCCACCGCCACCCAGAACCAGGCCTTGTTCTCTTCAGTAGGGCTGGGGCCAGGAGAGGTAAGGTGGGAGAGAGGGTCCCAGGCCCCACGGACCAGCCTCCGGTAAAGACTCGAAGAGTCCCAAGCAGTGCAGTGTGGAGGGAAGGCTGTTGCACATGTACTTTCTTGCTGTGTGACCTTAGGCAAATCGCATAACCTCTCTGAACCTCGATTTCCTCACAAGAACCTCTCCATTCTGGGTAAGTGCTCATTTACTGGCAACTTTCAATGGGTTCCTCTGAGAGAGGTGGTCAGACAGCCTCTCCTCTCTTCAACCTCCCCTCAGACTGGACACTTTTCCCCCTCCCCTGCTCCCTCCCAGCCTTATAGTCCCTTGAGCACTGAGCCCTAAGACCATCCTGATTCAGACCAAAACCTGCTGATGTGATAGGAGCTCAGGTGTGTTGGATGCTTCATGACCTTCACATCCACCCACCCCCACCCCAGCTCAAGAACCTTCTATGGCTCCCCATTGCCCTCAGGATAAAGTCTTAAACCTTCTGTCCTGAGTTCTGGCTCTGGTGACACGTCCAGCCGCATTTGCTTCAACTACTCTCTGATGTAATCAGTGGGCCCCTTTCTCATCTGCCAGCCTCTGCTCAGCCTTCCAACTCACTACCAAGTCCCTTCTGGCCCAGCTGAAAAGAGGGCCTGCACCTCCCAGGCTGGCCAGCAGGGCTGAGCCTGCTCTGCTGGGCAGAGGGACCTGCCTGGCACCTTCCTACACATGGTGGGTTCCATGCCAGGACAGGCCATGGATTCAGGCCAGAGGTGGTGCTGGTGTGGCGGGGACCACGGGCAGCACAAACCATGGCACTCACCTCCCAGCCGCAGGGAGGCCAGGTCTGGTGCACAGCCCGCGAGGAGCAAATCAGGACCTGGTGCAGGGGTAGGGGGAAGCCAAGGCCCGAGTGGCAGGTGGATACAGCCAGGCATTTGCACTGGGGGCACAGGGCTGCCACTGGGAGGGAAGTGCTCCCCGCTGCCCCCAGCCACAGACCACGTTCTCACTTTGTCACCAACAGAACCAAGCAGGGGTCTGGAGACGACGGTACAAAGGAGGAAACACCTCCTGGTTCTAAGTGAAATCCTATTAAACAACTTTGGATGCAGTGGGTCTGCAAACCGAGGTGTGTCCACAGCCCCAGTGCCCTGAGGCTGACTGTCCGAGTGCTTCCAGGGACTGAGCAGGAGCACAGGGTCCACCACCCACGCCCAGCTGCCCACCCCCGCCTGCGGCTCACTGCCTCCCCCGTCAGCCCCCGGGGCTGGCGGACTGCCTTGTTAAAGGCTAAGGTGAAAGATTTAAGGCAGAGATTTGCTTCAGGTGAATACCTTCTATTCTGTGTGTGTGTCCTCCCCACCCGGTCCCAGTCAAGGGTCTGAACCACACAGAAGCCCTCTCTCCACTTTCAAACATGCCTCCAGGCCTCTGCATACACTGTCCTCCAGTTCTTCTCAAGGCAAACTCCTACTCATGGTTCAAAGCCCAGGTAAAACAGCCCAGCCTCTGCGAGCTGCCTCAGACGGCCTCTGTCCGAATCAGGTGACCCCTTAGGTTCCTCAGCCCCTCGCACAGTCTGCTTATAACCCACTGCTCACAGTGGCTTGTGGACCAGACACCCAAAGGCAGGGAGGCAGGAGCAGGCCCAAGGGTCTAGCCCAGTTGGGAGAGGCTGGACTCAGGGAATAGAGCGTCGCAGTCCAAGGCATAAGGGTTCATGGGGTGCTTTGTCCCTGGACCGTCCCCTGCTGGCTCTGAGCTGTGGTCCCAACCTCTCCAGGGGGGGGGTCCACTTTCAGGATAACCCCTTCCCCCGACAGAACTGTGGCGGGAACACGCCTGAGGCTCTGTGACCGGGAGGAGCGATCATCCCTGCAGAGACAAAGCCACTCATGTGCGACCAGCAGGCATTGTTCCCAGGTGACTGAGCGGCTGTGCTGTGACTGTGGGACACACATGTCCCCGTTTCTGGATAGAAGCAGGGCGGGCGGGCAGACGGTGCCCCGCCTGGGCCCAAGACTCCAAGTGCCCTGTCCTGGCCTCTGGGCTGTGGCTGTGGTGCCCGGGGAGGGGTGTCTCTCTGACCAGCGGCTGGGCAGGTGAGGGGCCCAGGAACAGGGACCCCGCCTCCACGCCGGGCCACCGCAGCAGAGCCTGAGGTGCCGGCCCCAAGGAGGGGTTCGGGGTGCGGGCAACCCCTCTCCTCCAGGCAAGGGCGCAGATGAGGGTGTGGTGGGTTTGCAAAGATCTCACCCGCAAGTGAGCACAGCTCGCACACTTAGGTGTTCTAGGGTTATCTTCAGTCGCCGGGAAGGTTACCCAGAAGGAAGCTTCCCCTGATCGCCGGAAGTCGGGGGGCCGAGAACAGAAGACGGGACCTGGGAAAGGGGCAAGGGGCCCAGGAGTTCTAGGACCTGGCAGCCCAAGACTGCGGGTTCTCAGACCCGCAAAGCTGGCGGGCCCCAGCCCAGCCTGTGTGCGGCGCGCGTTGCAGGGGGAGCCTGCCCACAGCAGGGGTGGCCGGGCCTGCGGTGGGGCCTGTCCTGCTGCGCCAGCCCCGGCCTGACAGTGACCGCACCTCCCCGTGACAGGTGAGGACCCAGCCCCGGGCACTCTCTGTCTCTGTCTCTCTCCCCCAGCCAGCCTGTCCCCCACCTCCCCGGGCCCAGGGGAGGTGTATGGCACGTGGGGACTCAAGCCCGAGTCCCGATGACCCCTGGACTGGGAGGGACGGCCCCAGTGCAGACAGCCCTGCTGGGCAGGCCCGCCTGAGCTGGGGGAGGGGAGGGCAGCCTGGGGGGGCTGGCCCGTACGTGGCCGGGGGGCCCCTGGAGCTGGCACAAGACCGTGGACAGAGCCTGGGGCGTGCGTGCGTGCGTCCTGGCCTGAGCGTGTGGCGTCTGTCTCCCCTGTGCCAGGAGTGTGAGCCTGTCTCTCCCTGCTCTGTGGGCGGGCCTGGACGTGGGTGTGCTGGTCTCTGCTATGACCCCCACGCCCATCTACCCAGGGGGCTGGGGGCTGTCAGGAAAGCCCAAGGATGAAGCCAGGCCCGATGCTGCGGCCACTCGTCCCACCTAGCAGGTTATTCTGGTCTGGTGGCGGTAGCAGAGGTGACAGTGGCTGCCCAGGGAGGATAAACCAGGCTGGAGTAAGGTCAGGAGCCCCAGGACTGCCCTGCTCGGGGCCCATGGACCCGCTGGGTGGAGGCCTGGGTGCTGACTGCTGCTAGGTGATCTGCATTACCCAGCCCGTCTCTAGACTCAGTTTTCCTATCTGTGAAAAGGGAGGGGGTGGATTACTGGTGCTGCAGCAGACGTGAGATAGAATCAAACTGACCTTGGGACAGCTGTGGAGACAGACTCCCTCTGGGTCTGGGGCCTCAGGGAAGGAGAGTGGAAGGATAAACCCGGTCTTTCAGGTCACAGAGGTCGGTGGGCACTAGCTTGGCTGTTTCTGGCTGTGTGGCCTTCGGCAAGTTACTGCAGGTCTCTGAGCTTCCGTTTCCTTACCTGCACGCTGGGCTTCCCGGGTCACTTCCTGTCTTTGCATGTGTAAAATTGTGTCCCCCCAGTTCTTCCCTGCTTCATCTTCCCAAGAGCTTTTATCATCTTCCAAGATCTTATATAATTTTCTGATCGTTTGTATATAGAATTGTCCATCACCCCAGTAGAACGTGAGTGCCTAAAGGACCTGAACTTCATCTGGTTTGTTCGTGGTTCAGTCCCAAGCACCAGGCACAGGACCCGGTGCACAGCGGGGCTTGGTGGCCAAGGGGCAGAGCCAGCGCGCATCATGGACTCCAGGACGCCTTCGGTGTGAAAGGAAGCCAAGCAGCTCACTTGGGAACAAACTGTCACTTCTGGCAAAGGGGCCCACGGCAGCCGGGATGGGGGTGCGGGACACACGTTACAGCCCTGCGGTGCGCCCCGCGGAGGCCAGGGTGTTCCCGGAGGCAGGGGGACACAGCCCTCTGGAAGCTGGTAAAGGGCAGCTGGCCGGGGCCACCATCACCCCGTGAGGAAGGACACAGCCCGTAAACCCCGCCTCAGGCAGCTTTATGGGGCTTGGTGTGAGCGTGCAGGAGGTGTCACGCGTGTGGGTCAGAGTCCCCAGGAGCCCAGCCCGCCCGGGTGGAGCCGCTCTCACACGGGTCTGCAAAGCCGTCACCTTTCTAGGTGCCCATGGACTTCCGGGGCTCCCGTCTCCACGCTGCAGACGAGGACCAGGACGTGAGCCGGGCCCCCCGCCCCACGTGCCCCTGCCCCTCCTCTAGGGCCCTGGGCCGTGGCGGGGGGCCAGGAGGCACGTAACGGTTACTGCGGTGGCTGGCACTTCTGGAGCCCTGGCTGTGTACCAGCTCACCCCAAGCACTCCACACTGGTGCTCGTTTCCCAGGTAAGGCTTGCGCAGCTAGCAGGAGCAGGGCTGAGATTCTTGCTCAGAAGCCGGCTCTCTGAGCCACAAATGCCCCAAGTCTCAGTTTCCTGCTCTGATCCCTGCCTGGTGGTCTACCAAGGGCCCTGAAAGGCCCCAGGAGGGACAATGGACGCAGAATTAGGAGGAGGGGGCAGGACCCAGGAGCCCAGGCCCAGGGGGACGGAACCCAGGCTGGAGGGTGCCACCTGCCGGTGCTGTGCAGACACTGCGGCCCATGGGCCCAGGAAGCCTCTGGGGGTTCTGACCTAGGGGAGGGGCCTTGGCCAGATTGGTGGTGCTGGGATTTCGAGGGTGGCTCTGAGACCCCCATCCCACGACAGCACTGGGGCTGGCTCCCAGCTCCAGAACGGCTCCCTAGAACTGCCCGTCTCCCCTCCTGGTCAAAGCAGGTGCCGTCCAAGCCCACCCCTCACTGTCCCACCTGCACGGCTTTGCGTGGGCTGTTCCCTGTGCCCCGCATCCCCTCTCCCCTGTTTGTGTGCCAAACTCCCATTCATGCTTCAGGACCTAGCCCAGATGCCACCTCCTTCACCCCGCGGGGTGTGTCTGCGAACTTCCCTCACTCAATTGTCGTGGAGACCCCTGCACCACCACACTCCAAGGACTGACTGCTCCCCGACCTGCTATGTGGCACGCACACGCACATGCACACGCACACTCACATGCACACACTCACACCCCAAGGTTGGGCAGGTCTGGGACAACCTTGTGCCCATGGGCAGCGGGGCTGCACTCACAGGGAGGCTCCAGGAGAGGGCAGGGCAGGGCACCGAGGCACACAGGCTGAACTTCAGCCCATGGGATCCGCTCACAGGGGAAGGAAAGGAGGGGTGGGGGTTCAGCTCAGGCTGCAAGGGCCGTCTCAGGGAGCCCTCTGTGCCCTACTTCGCTGGGTGACCTTGGGCTTGTACCAGGAGCCAGACCAGCCTGCCTGGCAGGCGCCATTCCCAGGAGATGGCCAGAGCCTGGAGGCTGGCACAGGGAAACCTGCCACTTCCTGCTTCCACAGGGGACCTCCTGGGACGTGGAGGCTGCACTGTGGACGAAGTGGTGATCCAGGGGGCTCAGAAGCACCCCGGCGCATTTCCACCCCAGGGCCTTGGCATATGCATTCCCTCTGCCTGGAAGTTTCCTCCTCGTCCGCACTCCCGTTGACCCTGGCTGCCTCCACCTCCAGGTCAGAGCTTGCCCAAACGCCCCCTCCTCAGAGGCCGTCCCTGACCCTGGCTCCTGCTGTGTTCACTTGTCTCCTCAGTCACCTGCCCCCCTAGCTAAGACGCAAACCCAGAAGGGCAGAAACTTTGGTCTTCCACTGCCATTTCCCAAGTCCCTGGGACAGCCTAGGAAGTGGCTTGTAGCTCAGTGAATATTCCTTGAATTAAGGCATCTAGATCCTGCTGTTCTGGGAGCAGGAAGAACAGAGACCAGCCAGGGGCCTGGCCCCTGCAGCCCCCACTCCTGTCCCTGCCCCTTCCTTCCAGCCAGGGTCCACCACTGCCCCCAGTGTGGCCTCCGGGATTGGGTTCTTTGCTGCCACAAAGCCAGACACTCCCGCCATGGCCACCCCGCTCCAGTGCCAGCACTGTTCTCATTGCTCTAAACAGAGTGACTCACTTACCCCTTGCAATAGCCCATTTTACACGTGAGGAAATAGGCAGAGAGGTTAAGTGACCTACCCAAAGTCACACAGCCGGGAAATGGCAGAGCCAGAATCTGAACCAAAGCACCCGGCCCTAGGGCCCATCCTCCCTACTGTGTCAGCACATGGTGGGCCCCTGTCCAGAGCACATCCCGGACACCTGCCCTGGTGCCCGGCTGCTCTCCCTCCCCCAGTCCAGCTCATCAGCCCCCCTGGTGACTAGCTACTCACAGAATAATTGTGGACCCTCAGCCCAGTGTCCAAGGCCTCGGAGCATCCTCACTGCTGCGGGCCACACCCCAGGGTCCATGTCATCCCCGACCCCCAGAAGGTCATTCTCTCCACACTCCGCGGGCCTGTCCCACCCTCCTCGGCACACTCAGGGTCAGAACTCACTTCACAGAGATGGAGAACTCCCCTGGGGAGCTCTCACTCTCCCGGATCAGGAAGGCTCCCGCGTGGTTCCGCTTCATCAGAATCTCTTCCGCCAGCTGCCGGGAAATCCTGCCCGAGTACCACCTGCAGAGAGGGGACAGGTGAGGGCCGCAGGCCACCAGGCCAGCGCTGCCTCCAGTGCCAGGCTGCTCAGCACAGCAGTCCCAAGACACTGGAGGCACGGCTGTGCCCACTGTACAGGTGATCAGCAGAGAGGTGGAGGCCTCGTGCCCCAGCTCCCACACCGCGAAGGGCAGTGCTGGGGTCCGCCCCCAGCGTCCTGCCCCCTGAGCTCGAGCCTTTCCCACCACACCGGGCAGACACATGTCCTCATGAGAACAGAAAATCCAGCTTCGGTGAGCCCCGACCCAGCCAAACCCAGGTGAGTTTCCATTTCACGTGGTAGATTCTTAAAAGTGAGAAAGTATTTTAAAAGACCAAAAAAAAAAAAAACCCAAAAAACCCCAGCAGCTTTGATGGGGTGAGGAAGGGTCGCCCTCTGCGCCTGCTTCACAGACGCACAGACTGGGGCTGCTCAGACGTTCTCGCACAGGTTCGAGTCCCTTTTCCTCTGACCAAACAGAAGCAGGTGTTCAGTGGTGCCTGGTGAACCCCCGAGCCCTGCAGTGCCTGGGGCGGAGCCCTGCCTTCGTGCTCTTCGGGTCTGGGTGGCCTCTGACTGGCTCCCGGGCCCCGGGCCCCCGGGTTTCAGCTTGGACGCTTTATTGTTCAGATGGGGCAGCTGAGCCCCTGAGTGGCTGGAGTCTTGCAGCGGGACCTCGGTGCCCACGGGCAGCCCAGAGCCTCCATCCCGGCATGAGTCCATCCCTCGTTCCGCCAGCGCCCCCTGGGTCCGAGCTTGGCCCTGGCAGACGTGAAGCAGGACTTTCCCGGTTGTCTCAGGATGTGACAGCAGAGCCCTCCAAGCCCAGCCCCACTCGCTCCCCGCCCGCCTGGCCAAGCTCGAAAACCGGTGATTCCATCCAGGGGCTTTTTTCAGGCAACTAACGCCCTGGGCCTGCGCGGGGCAACCGGCCCTGGAGCGATCTCGGCGGGGAGAGCGGGAGCGGGCGGGCAAACCCCTGGGTCCAGCCAGAGGGAGCACTGGCCAGTGGCCGCCAGCAGCTGCCCTGTCCTTGCGGGGCTCCGTCCCTGCCCGCGTCCCAGCCTGAAGTAAAGCCCTGGTCCTGACACTGTGCTCGGGCGCTGCTCCTGGGAGCCCACACCCCTGGCCGCCGGGAGGTTCTAGTCCACTGCTGCCCCTAAACTGGGGGGGGAGGCTGGGTCCACCTCAGGGCGGGTTCCCAGGGAGGAGGTGGTGGAAGTGACTGCCGAGAGAGGGGCTCAGGGGAACCCTCTGAGCTCGGCCTGGGTCTCTGGACTTTGGAGGCTGGAGGCTGAGCTGGGACGGGGAGGGCTGGGGACTCGGGGCCCTGGGGGAGCTCCCCCAGGAAGCCCCCGGCAGCACACAGGTGCAGGCGCTGCTACGGCAGCAGGACTCCAGTGGGGCCCCGAGTGGGCATTTCTGAGGACTGGGTGTCTCCACAGAGCCACAAAAACCCCATAGGAGGCATCAGCGTGTGGGTGGCTGTCATCCTCAAAGGGTTTCGCAGCCACAGCCTTGAGGGGGCCAGCCCTGCCCCAACCAAGTAGGTCCTCAGTGGCTCAAAGGACAGGATGCAGAGGAAGCCAGCATCTCCTGCTGCCCCCAGCACCCAGCCCACCCCTCCCGTGGCTGCCTCACACAGTCCCCCATTTTCCTCTTGTGGAAACAGGGATCCCCCGAAAGGTTGCACAGCAAGTCTCTGGCCTCTGACTCTCCCCCAGCCCCACAGCTGCTCTGACGGCGCCCCAACCCCATCCTGGTGAGCACAGCAGGGGCCCACAACCCTGCCTGCAAAGCCCACTCTGCCTCCCACCAGCTGTGTGACCCCAGACAAGCCACGCAACCTCTCTGTGCCGCTATCTCCTTGCCCATGAGGCAGTGACGGCAGCGCTCAGCTCACGGGGCCCTTGGGAGAACAAGGGGGCTGCCGCCTGCAGGTGTTCACTGCTGCTGCTGTGACCGCCTCCCCCGCACCTGTCTGCTGCCCCTGGAGAACTTCTGCTCTACCCTTCAGTGCCCTCCTCCAGGAAGCCCTCCTTGACCCCCACTGGCCATGTAGCTGGGTCAGGGGCCTCCGTGGTCCCTGCCCATGAGGCCTGCTCTGGGAGCACCTGGCCTGCATCTGCTCCCTGGGCAGGTGGGGGTGACAGTAGTGCTCAGGGAAGGAGCAGCCTGGTGTGGACACAAGGCCCTCTGGGACCCCTGCCCTCCCCGGACCACACGCCCTGGAGCCTGACGGGCTTAGTCAGGCATTGAGCTGGAGTTTCCCCACTGCTGTTCTGGGGCCGGGGCAGGGGCTGAGGTTAGCCAAGAATGCACCTGGGCCTCGGCTGGGCAGGCTGACCCCTGTCCGTGGTCTGTCCCCGACACGAGTGTCCAGAGCTGGCCCCAGGGACCGCAGGGCCATCAGATACTGGAACCCTCTGTGGTTCCAAAGTACCTTGACAGCTGGCATTGCCCTGATAGGCCTGGCCTCCAAATCTGTCCGTTTTCCTTCCCTGAGCAGACAGGAGCCTCTGCTGGGGCTTGTCAGCGTCCTCCCATCCTGGCCTTTGCCGGCCGTAGCCTTCACCTGGAGGTTCTCCCTGACCAGCCAGCCATGGTGACTGTTCCCACCGTGTCTTGCACTGGCCTGGCCCTGGCTGGGGGCCCTGGCTGGGTTCCCTCCCCTCCTGCTGTCCCTTTACCGACAGAAAGACCGTAAGACCAGAGGGCAGACACCTGCCCAATGTCACCCAGCCCAGAGGGGTGCTGCGGGGCTGAGACCCCGGGGCTGTCGCGCCCGTGGGGAGGCGGGGGTGCCTGGAGCCCTGCAAGGAACCTGGGTGCCCTGCACAGGAAGACGATAAAGAGGAAGTAAGCTCCGGGCCCCACCCTGGCCCTGTACCTCCCTCCCTCTCCAACCCACAGCCTCACACATCACGGCTCCCAGCCTGCCCCTTCCAGCCTGCCTGGCCCTGTCACCTGCCCCCTCATCTGGCTGACTTCCTCCCCTGCTCAAACACCTCTGTGGCTCCCACGCCCTCCGCCTGGCGTTTGAGGCCCTCCTGCCAGTCCCACACCAGGGGTTCTGCCTCACTGCCATCCCTGTCCCCCTCCCTGGGGAGCCTTTCTCTTTTTCCTCTTAGCTAATTCCTACACATCCTTCAAAACCTCATTTGTTGCCACCTCTTCTGAGAACCCCTCCCTGGTTAGTCGCCTCAGTGCTGACTGCCTTCCCTTGTCATACTTTATGTCCTGTCTCTCCTGCGGGACAGCCTGCTCTGACCCCAGCATCTCATGTGTGTCTCCAGCATCACCCAGGCTGGGCCCCCTGGGCCGTGGCCAGTGTTTGGTGAACGACTGAGTCAGCAGTAGCGGGGCTGCCTCGGCCCTCACTGCAGGCACATCCCGGTGGTTTTTCACGAATTCTCAGCCACTTAGTTCTGTCCTGGGGCTGAGAATGGGGCGTCAGCGTTGGAAGCTGACTAGGGGCTCCCCAGGCCCAGGACACCTGGGCCCCACACATGCCTCCCGCTCCACCCTGTCCCAGGCTCTGCTCAGCAATGTCCAGCTCCCCTGACACCCCATAGGCAGGGCCACAGGGTCTGTGTCCTGCATCCCCACCCCCACACAGGGCTGAGCTGGCCTCACGGGGGGAGCTAGCTCTAGGACCCCCCTGTCCTCTCCGGGCCCCCCTGGGCCCCCTTGGGGGGCCCCAGGCCCTCAGTGCTGTGTCTTGGGCCGGCCCTGGTGCTGCCACCACTCCCAGCAAGTCCTCACGTCTCTTCCCCCAGTTCTGCTCGAGGTAGAGCCTGGGGGCCCCATGCAGACAGAGGGAGCTGGGGTGAGGCCTCGCAGGCAGCTCAGCTCAGCCTAGCCCGGCTGAGTGGGGAGTCTGGCTGCAGGGACAGGGAGCCGCCCTGAGGACGCGGGGCAGGGGCGGCACTCACGGGTGGGGCTTGACACGGATGTAGTTCTTGGGGACGAAGCCCTCGGCACCCCGCAGCTCGGCCTTGTACCAGTTCTGGTCGTCTTCCATGTTCAGGATCTGTGGGCGGGAGAGACACGGCCACCTGGTCACTGAGGAGGGATGGCTGCCACCTGCTGGGACCCGCTGGTGGGCTTCACCTCGCCTGCCCCAGGGACATGCCACAGAGGAGGGCAAGGTCCCAGAGCCAGCTGTGGTTGCCCAGCCCCAGGACCGTCCAGCCTGGCCCGGGGTGGGTCACAGCCTCCCTGGGGAGCACAGCTGGGGAACACAGGAGGATCTGACAGGTGGGTTGAGCTTTGGAGGGAGGGGGCTTGAGCCGGACTCTCAGGTTCTGCCACCCCAGGGCTGAGGTCCCCGGCCTAGAGGTGGTCGCCTGGGGTCACTTGCACTTATACAGCCCTCACGTCTGAGCTCAGAGGGGCTGACCTGGTTCAGGCACCAGGGAGCAAATAAGAGAGGCCTGTGTACTTGGACGAGGCGGAGGCCTGGCCACTCGGGTCACATGCTCCTCGTAGCCCGCAGGTGGGCCGTGAGGAACCGAAACCGCCAGAGCGGGGGTGGGAGCCGTCACGGGAGGGCGGCCGGGCGGCCAGGCAGCCGCGGGAGCAACATGAAGCTCGGGCTCCCTCCTCCGAGGCCCCTTCACAGAGGAGGACACAGGCCCAGAGAGCGGGGGGCGGGGAGCAGGGCCACGCACCGGGACCCTGGCCCCCCAGCTTCACCTCACTCCTCCTCCCACTTTGTCTCTGGCCCGGGCCCAGGGGCCGTCTGCCCGTCAGTCCTGGAGCAGGTCCCCACGTCAGCTCAACCCCAGTGGGGATATTTGTCGAGAGAGAAGACTCGGACATGGCACAGCTGCCCAGGCAGGGGCACCGTGGGAGCAAAGGCAGCGGCTCAGACAGTTGGGCTTTGCTCAGAGTGGCCGAGCTTTGCCCCCGTGGGCCCCGGCCGGGCCCCGCCTGCGCAGGCAGGCGCTCCTCGCTGGCCGCCAGGCCCGTGGAGCCCCTTCCTTCCTGCCCCTGCAGTCTGGGCAAGGTCAGCGGCCCCAGGGACAGACGGAAGCAGGTGGCTGACTCAGGAAAACTTTTGCTGAAAACAAAACAACACAAAACAAAAAAACTCGCCCAACTGAATGAGAAAATTAGGGCCTGCAATTCAGGGCCAGTTCCCTGGGGCTCTAGACCTCTTTGTCGGCCTCTGCCTCTCACCACAGCCTCAGTTTCCTCTCCTGTAAATGGGCACCTGGATGGCCTACCCTGCAGAGCCCTGTGTGGGTGCGTGACAGTAATCAATCCCTGGTCTGTTTTGCTTTTTTTTCTCTCCTGTCACCTCCACTCCAAAGAAGGACCCAGAAATGTTCTAATCAGTTACATTAGCTGGATTTTTGCAGTTAACATTGTTCAAAACCCCCAGACTCTCTGAGACC